TGACCTCACCATTCAACTCAAAGATACCAAGCTACAGATATGTCTTACTGCCTGTGACACACACACACACACACACACACACACACACACACTGCTGACACCATAAAACAGTAACATGTACCTTCTAAGAGGCAATGCACTTAACAGCAAGTTGCATGGACACAATACATATATATCTTACACCTGATGCTCATTGTTTTTCAAACAAAATCTTAATTCTTGTGAATTGAATCATATAATTTAAAAAATGCCTGGGAAGCTTTCAACATAAAAATAGAACCTCCCTGAGTGGCCATGGAACCCTTTGAAATGGATTAGGTAACTGCCTATCAGGAAACATTCTGGAAATCTGGTTTTCCCAAATGTGGGTCTTCTTTTTTTAAAAAGGACCCAAGAAAACGTGTTTTCCTCTGCCACCAGATCCAAAGTATCAGATATTCATCTTTCTGTATGTGACATTCAACTCTCTCTCACAAATGGTTTTCAGTTTGCCAGGGAGCAGTGTGGACCTGAGTGTCACCCGGGGTGGGGTGGGGGTCCTCTGACCCTGCCCAGGAGCGGAGATTCGGCCAACATCAAGCTCTCTGGTCCTCAGCTTTCTTAGGTCAAATCAGCGAGACTCCAAGGACACTGCTGCTTCTAGGAAGTTGGCATCTAAGGGAAAAGGAAACTGGAGAGATGTTTTGGTTTCCTCTTGGAGGGTGATGTGTGTTGAGAATCTGGACTATTTTCTACAGTCTTCCTTTTTTTTCAATCTACTCATTCAATAGGTATTTCTGAGTAATAACCTACCATGTGCCATGTAATAGTACACTGTATTGGGTTGAGCCACGTGAAATTGTTTTTATGGTTAAGAGATAGCAATGTTGGCAATTTCATATGGTACAACCTACTAGTTAAGAGAGATTTCCTAAGCTAGTGTTACTGAGTTTTTCTCCTGATGGCATCAAATCCTTGTGGTAACCAGTTCTGATGCACAACCCAATCACTATCTGGGATGGGATTCTGGGTCTCCCTGGGTTTCCTTCTAGAGACGAGGCAGCCACATTTCCACCACTCTTCAAGCTGTAATATTTTGGAGCTTTGGAAAGGCATGAATCTTTGTTTTAGACCAACTTCTCCCAGATGTCCTTTTATGAAGAAGGTGACTCACACATGCACAATGAAGGCGACTCTGTTTGGGCTCTTGTCTCTATACCACTGGAACAAACCAGTGTCCCAAGGCTATTCACAGAGACCAGTATGACATGAAAAGATTTAACAACCAGTTCTTTTTGTTGAACAAATGATTCAAAGCAAATCAAAACTGGACGTGGTTAAAGCATGGAGCTAAAGAAGCTACCTCACATACCTTTCCAATTTATTTAGGAGATTCTTTCTTTCCCTCTTATTTACCACATTTCCCAAGAGAGAATATGAGTAGAAGAGCTGAATCTAATGCCAAACTACAGAGGACATGGTGAATAATCGAGATTTTGAAATACAAAAAAATCAAGGTTCTGGGATGCTTTTTATGGTAGTTACCAGGGCTACGCAAGTAGCCACCGGTGGGGCTATCATTTTTGGCCAAGGGCAGCCAGGTGACCATTAACCACAGTGGCCAGTGAGGTGAGACCCTTCTTGCTCAAACTCAGCACTGGTGACATCAGTACTGGGGAACTGAACCCAGGGCTTTCACACTGGCTACATCCCCCGCCCTTTAAAACGTTTTTACTTTGAGTCAGGCCTAAGTCCCTTGCTTGTCCAGGCTAGTCTTGGACTTGGGACCCACGTGCCTCAGCCTCCCAGAAGGCTGGGATTACAGGCGTGCACCGCCACACCTGGCTCAGGCCGTTCTTTGTCCTGGCGACCGTCCTGTCTGTGCATGACAGGATGTTCAGCGGCACCCCACCATCTTTTTACCGCTCACTAGATGCCAGAAGACCTCAGAGGCTGAGAACCACTGTGTCAGATGGATACTGAAAACCCAATGCAAAACAAATGAGTTGTGAGGGAAAACTTATGTCAGCTTCACCAACCCAGAGGGAAGATCTGCTGAGAGGGCGGGAGAGAGGGGGCGGTATTCAGAGGATCGCCCACTTGACAACTGTATTCCTCCAGCCAAACTCAAGACGGGAGGCAGAACCCGCCTTATGAAGGTGAGCGTCCTGGGTAAGGGACCGGGCCTGCTGACCTGCCTGATGTTCCACAGAGGGGTGGGGGCTGGGAAACAGCAGGAGCTCCACCCCGCCTCCTCTGGGCCTTCTTCTTCCCAACATCACAGTCGGCAACAGCTACTTCTCTCCCCACTTCCTCCAGGTTTCAGTTCCAACATCACCTCCTCCCGGAACAGTTCTTGACCCTTCCCTACAACACCTGCACCTGGCCACCTGCTCCAGATGGCCCGAGCAGCGTGCCTTGCACCCACACTTCCAGCATGTTACCCTCACCTCATCACAAACACACACCTCTACATTTGTATGGATTTGCGGAGTTTGGCTTTCTGCTTGTTCCTACCATTAGGATATAAATCCCATGAGGACAGGAACCATACTTTCCCCCGAACCCAACAGGGCACCCAACACACGGTAGATACATTCCTGGAAAGATTTACTGAATTGACTAAGAAATCACTTTTCAATTGAAGGACAAGGGAGGCCCAATAAGTGAAGTGCACAGGATGGAATCGAACTTGTGATCATTGCAGCACATATGTCATCAGTGTGTATGCTGGCTGTTTCTGCAGAGGCAGCAAGACCAGAGGGTGCCAGGTGGGAGCAGATCCTGAATAAAACATGGAAAATACGCAAGTTTCTGTCTTTGCCCACACAGATCTTGAGTGTTCACCAGTCCCTTATTATTATACATCTTTTGGAAAAATGTTTTATACCCTGAGCCAAATCACACGCCTGCCAATGTGTCCACCACGTATAGTGGAAGCTCAATGAGATAGCTGAGCACTGAACTGGGTGGGAGAGTCCTGTGCTTGGAAACCAGTATGACAAGGACCAACCTTCACACAGTGGTAGGCAGGGAGCGAGGACGGGCCATCCAGAAAGACTCAATGAGGGTCTGAGCGTGTCTGTATTTCAGAGAGCACATCCCGCCAACAGCTCGCGGTCAGCAGGCCAATGCTCAACACTGCCAGGTTCCAACATCAAGAACACAGAGACATTTCCATCTAACTTTTATATGAAGAATTTAATTATCTATACATGTAACTAATTCAAAAGGTCGTATTACAGTTGTTAAAGCCGCAGGTTTATATATTTATATATTTTACATTCATAGCCATGAAAATACTGAAGCGCGAGTGGACAAGGAGCTGCCCTCGTCCCCTGCACCATGTGAGTAGAGGAGGAGCTGCACACAGCCGGAGCAGTGTCTCCAGGGGACAGGAACACACAGGGGACAACAAGTTACAGAGTCATTAGAAGGACAGCTAGATTGTGCTTGAGGCTTCCCCCACCCACTTTCTGTGCTGTCAGCAATGGACGTTTTTATTAAGAGCTTCCAGCTAAGTGTTTAAAAGACAAACATGGTTTCAGCTACAGCACAGCTAACACATACACGGACCATGAGCTCCATTTCATATTAATCTGTAGGAATTCCACAGTCTAGTTAAAAAATGTAAACATTGGAAATTAATCGCAGGGAGACTTCTACACATTCTTTCTTGTCAAGAAAATTACTTGTTCAAAATATGCCATTCCATGAAAAGCAACTGGAATAAAACCTCATGTAACAGAGAATAAAAAAAGAGATTGTAGATACTGTTGATCGTTTAACAACCTCAGCGGTGTTGTTGTCTACTGAGTTATGATATGAAACCACACAAAATTAAAAACCCCAAACAAAACACCAATTCCACCAGATAAATCTGAGACCAAACAAAAACACAGGCGCTTTCTCATGTGGCCACAAGGTGCAAAATAAAATCAATGCAATATGATTAGAGCATCATACAATGTAATAGCGTTTGCCACAGAAAGAACCGATTCCTTATGTACAAGATGTATTACATGCTCAACAAGGTACATCTGATACACACAAACAGGTACAAACACCTACTAAGCTCCTCTGTACTTCTATGGCAGGGGAAAGCCCCAAACTACACAATTTAGTTGGTAACACTGGACAAAGTGGAAAAATACATCAAGTCTCAGATTTATGGACATTTGGAACAATTTTTAATAGCACATGCAGCATTCCTTGATAGTGGGTCTTTTTGCAAAACCAAAATAGCAAAGAAGTAATTAATTGATTGATTTTTATTAAAAGTCTAAAATACATATTTAAAAATAATCTTGAAACTATTGAAAGCACCTGTGCAAAGGTGGGGGAAGTCAATTTGAGTAACTAGGAAAGCCACAAAAGGACCCACTACCCTGTGTATTTTTGTAATTTTTGCTTCTATCTCTGCAAATAATAACTCAAACATTGCGATCACATGCAACTATGGTAAAATGAGGTAAACTGCTCTGCAGTGAGTTCTTCTACTCAGAAGGCAGTAGGTGATCATGCTGGAAGTCACATGATCAGGGCTGCATCTCCCATCATCCCTCTGGGCAGTGATATGGGATAGTGGGTCTCTTTGAGGACTTTCAAGCCTGAGGGGGGGATGGACAACATATGATTCCTAGAAAAAGGAGGAAAACAACACATAAGCAAAACAAAACAATGAGCAAAATTCAAGCTAGGAAAATGAGTCAGGCATGTAAACAGCATGGTGCCAAAATGATTAAAAAAAAACAAAGAAAGAGGAAAGGGGGGGAGGGGACATGCTACAGAAGGAATGAAAATTAAAAAGAAACAAACAAACAAACAAATAAAAACCAAAACCGAAACAACCCCACAAGATAAAGTCTCGAAATACAGAAGGTCTTCAAAGAGACTGTTGCAAATGCAGCAGTGGTCTCACTTTAAGTTCTGCAAACAAAGCTCAGCAGAATCAGAGCAATGCTGCATGTTTTACTGGAAGACACCAGAGAGGAGAGGAACACTGCCACAAGGGCACTTACATTGCTGGCTGGGGTCCATGTCCGTGGTCAGCTTCACATAGTTGGATGGGAAGAGCCCCACTTGCCCGTTGACTTCCCCTTTCCACCAGTCAGGGTCCTCTTTGTTGAGAACGTTGATGATCTGGCCCTTGTTGAAGGCCAGCTCGTCGTCGTTCTGAGCCGTGTAATCGTACATCCCAATCACCTGGCACACTGCAGGAGACAGGGCTGGGTGAGCAGCTGCCCACGCCCGGGGCACGCAAGGCAGCCCCTTGCAGCCGGCGGCACTCTCATGGGTTATTTTTGCCCTTTCAGAAGAGGATACAATGAAGTGGAAGTGGCCTTTGGGGGTTTCCATAGTGTGGGGAACAGAGGAAGGTGAAGGATTAAAAATGAAGATGACAGCAAAATTTTCACATTGCTTTTAGTTTTTGTAACATCTTCCTCCTTTTCATATTTACTGGTCAGCAGGAATGTTAGTGATAACTCAATCTTTCCTTCTGAGAGGGGTGGGATTCCTTAGTACTGACTCCGGGAGACTGGATGACACCTGCCCAGCTCCACTCCACAGGATGGACACTGGGGACCATGGGACACCCTATCATTTTTCCTTCCTTTTTTGCAGTGCTGGGGCCCTAACCAGGGCCTTGCGCATGCTAGGTGAGCATTCCACCACTGAACCATACCTCCAGACTCCAAAAGCTTCCAAATCGTATTTAAAAAGATTATTCTGTACCAGGCATGGTGGCACACAGCTGTAATTCCACCCCTCTGGGAGGCTCAGGCAGGAAAATCAGAATTCAAGCCCAGGGCCAGGGATTTAGCTCAGTGGTTTCACCACCTGCTGCGCAAGCGCAAGGACCCGAGTTCGATCCCTGGTACCAAAAAAA